TTCCTCCCCGCACGTTGAAGGTTGAGCGTGGCGAAGCGGACTTCCGTCGGCTCCGCCCGTCGGCGTCACTGAGAAGCAGCCCTGGAGTCCGTGACTAGCTCCTCGAGCTCTGTCGCCGTCATGGTGATGCCGTGCCTCTGGGCGAAAGACGTCCAAGCTGCTGGGATAACTCGCCACTGCCCAGATCCCCCGAAGCTGGCCGCCTGATACTCGGCCAGCAAGCTCCGCTTCCCCTCAACGGGGTCAGAGTACATCGTGGACGGCGACTTTCCGTATCCAGTCGATCCTTTGAGGAAGATGGTGGGGTGCTTCCTGCTCCAGACACCATAAAATCGGCCAACTGCTTGATTGTGTGGGATCTTCTCGTCTGGGACCTCTGCACGAACTCTCAAACGAGACACCTTCGACTTCACCTTGGTGTAAAAGGCGTGGTTAAGCGATTCGTCATCATTTATACGTGTGAGAGCGCGCTGTACAGCATAGACCACTTCACTCCCTGCCCCAACCTTAAATCTAATCTTGATATTCCCCGTCATCGGTTTCGATCTGGCAAGTTTCTCAGAGCTGACCACATCCACTTGACCGTGTAACTGCTCGTTATCCGCTTTCAATAGACCCAGGGTGTTCTGGAGTAGTGTGCAGGCATCCGTATCGTCGATCATCGTAAGTTCCCTACTCGTGCGATTCGACCAGTCCTGGACCCATCCGTACAATTCTACATATGTAGGAGTAAATTTTGCCGTCGATGTTCGTCCTGCAAATCTCGGGGCTGCTATCGTAGAGTTAGAGGATCCAATCGAAGCAGTATCCTGGCTGGCCAGGGTCTCCAAGTTCTTAAGCCTAATCTCCTGCTCCTGCTGTTTCTTCTCAATGGCCGTGAGTTTCTCTGTCTGGACCCCGAGACGTTGATCCATACTACTAATACGCACGTCAGTGGCCACCGAGGCGGCCTTCGACTCATCATGATTCTGAAAGGACATCTGCATGAACAATCGCAAACTCTCATCTTTTTGAAGACTCAGAATTTTCTCTCTCATGGCCTTTTGATCACGAATGTCACCTCCCGTCTTGTCCACCTTCTCCTCCTCCTCCATATCCGTCTTCATCCTCTTGCTACCCTGACCGTCAACCTCCATTTCTTCTGGAAGGAACTGGCGAAACGACCCTTCTTGAACTTACAGAGACACCAAGAACGATGCGAGTAGTGTCGATAAGGTCGGGAACGACGAAATATGCAACACTCTAGGCGACAGTAATCCTCCCAATAGAAGTCTTCCAGATCTGCAAAGAATCGATCCCAAACACAGCTAGGCTCTCCGAGAGGATATAAGACGTTCCACCCTCCTGCTGGCTCTCCGAAGCTGTTCGTGACCGCACAGACGATACAACAATACTCAGCTCGCACACGTGGAATGAATAATGGACGAGAGCAAAAATGGAAGAAGGCACGCTCCCAAGAACAAAAGCAGATGCAGACGTATGCGTGCTCCACTCGTACCAGCAGGGCGTTGCCTCCCAGTAACCAGTTCAATCAGGAGCCTGATGCCAGCAGAGGGGCCGCAGGCTGTCCAAGATGTGTGCGGAAGAGTGTACAGTATGTGGAACCCAACTCCCTACTGCACAATGCAGCTCGAGAGAGCCCCCCGGCGGGGCAAGGCCGAGGGAGAGCGGGAGGTAAGCTCCGCGTCCTCAACCTTTCTTACCGCCGGGGGACTCGTAGAGCTTCCTGACCATATATAATGTCGAAAAACATTGCAGAGAACGAATAGTTTTCAGCCTGAGCGATTTCAGACCTCTCGATGCAACAGCCAAACGCCCCTCATGCTTCTGGATCGTTCCCTGTGCGCACGAGCTTCGCAGCTCTCCTACAGCCCGAGTTACATGCGAAAATCGACAGCCCCTCTCAAGATCACTCGAACAATACGAATAGTTTGGCAAACCTAGCTCGAGTATCAGACCTCTGAATGCAACAGGCGGACGCGTCTGATGTCTCCGAATCGATTCCTGTGATTACCAGCCCTGCAGGCCCCTTACAGCCCGAGTGAAGTGCAGAAAACCGAGAGCACCTCAAAAGACGACTCGAACAATACGAATAGTTTCGCAGACCTAGCTTAGGCAGCACACCGAGTTCTGAGCTCTGAATGCGACAGGCGGACGCGACTGATGTCTCCGAATCGAATCCAGTGATTACCAGCCCTGCAGCCCCCTTACAGCTCGAGTTAAGTGCAGAAAACTGACAGCACCTGTCAAGATGCATCGAACAATACGAATAATTTCGCGGACCTAGCTCGGGCAGCACACCGAGTTCTGAGCTCTCGATTTGGCAAGCGGATGCGCCTGATGCCTCAATATTGATTCCTGTGAGCACGAGCCCTGTAGCCCCCCTACAGCTCGAGTTAAGTGCAGAAAACTGACAGCACCTGTCAAGATGCATCGAACAATACGAATAATTTCGCGGACCTAGCTCGGCCAGCAGACCGAGTTCAGACCTCTGGATGTAAGAGACGAACGCGCCTGATAATTTCCAATCGATTTCTGTGAGAATAAGCTCTGTAGTTGCCCTACAGCTCGAATTAAGTACAAAATACCGACAACGCGTATCAAGATGACTCGAAACAGCCGATCCCGCCGCGACGCTTTTTCGCAGAAATATGTACCCGATCGAGCTAAGATTAAGACAGCGAGCGGGAATAAGATCGAATATGGTCAGAAAAAATACTAGAGCTCAAAGGAATTGCTGAATTTCGAGAACAAAATTTTCAACCGACCAAAAGTCGGCAAAAGGTCCGTCGAGATTTTCCTTGCCAACTAGCTCTCCAGCGCGCCGGAACTGGGCGCCGGCGGTAAACCGTCAACCTTGGTTACCGCCGGGAGACTCGTAGAGCTTCCTAGCTCGACTTATGTTGAGAAAACCGACAGCACCTACCAACATTCCGACTCATAGTGAATATTTTTTGACCTTTGAATGCGACAGGCGGACGCGTCTGATGTCTCCGAATCGACTCCTGTCATTACCAGCCCTGCAGCCCCCTACAGCCCGAGTTAAGTGTAGAAAACCGACAGCACCTCTCAGGATGACTCGAACAATACAGTAGTTTCGGAGACCTCATTCGGGCAGCAGACCGAGTTCCGAGCTCTGGATTGACAGGCGGACGCGCCTGATGTCTTCAAATCGATTCCTGTGACCACCAGCACTGTAGCCCCCCTCAGCGCGAGTTGAGTGAAGAAAACCGAGAGCACTTCTCAAGATGACTCGACCAATACGAATAGTTTCGCGATTCTAGATCGGGCAGCAGACCGAGTTCAGAGCTCTGGATTCAACAGACAAACACAACTAATGATTCTGAATCGGTGTCTGCAAATATCAGCTCTGTAGCTGTCCGACAGCTCGAGTTAAGTACAGAAAACCGAGAGTTCCTGTCGAGATGACTCGAATAATACGACTAGGTTTGCGGACCTAGCTCGGCCAACAGACCGAGTTCAGACCTCTGGATTCAACAGGCGAACGCGCCTAATCATTCTACATCGATTAGCTGTGCTTACCAGCTCTGTAGCTGTCCTAAAGCTCGAGCTATGTTCAGAAAACCGTCAGCGCGTATCAAGATGACTCGAAACGGCCGATCCCGCCACAGTGCTTTTCGATAGTAATATTCACCCGATCGAACTGAGATCAAGATGGCGAGCGGGAATGAGATCGAATATCACGGGAAAAAACACTAGAGCTCAAACGAATTTTGGAATTTCGAGAACATAATTTTCAAGCGAGCAAAAGTCACCAAAAGTTCCGTCGAGATTTTTCGAGCCAACTAGCCTGCCAGTGCGTCCGAATTACTCTTAAGCTTCCAGCTGCTAGCTTAGGGAAGCTCTACGAATCATTACTGGGCGCCGGCGGGAAACCGTCAACCTTGGTTGCCGCCGGGAGACTCGTAGAGCTTCCTAGCTCGACTTATGTTGAGAAAACCGACAGCACCTACCAACATCCCGACTCATAGTGAATATTTTTTGACCTCTGAATGCGACAGGCGGACGCGTCTGATGTCTCCGAATCGACTCCTGTCATTACCAGCCCTGCAGCCCCCTACAGCCCGAGTTAAGTGCAGAAAACCGACAGCACCTCTCAGGATGACTCGAACAATACAGTAGTTTCGGAGACCTCATTCGGGCAGCAGGCCGAGTTCCGAGCTCTGGATCTGACAGGCGGACGCGCCTGATGTCTTCAAATCGGTTCCTGTGACCACCAGCACTGTAGCCCCCCTCAGCGCGAGTTGAGTGAAGAAAACCGAGAGCACTTCTCAAGATGACTCGACCAATACGAATAGTTTCGCGATTCTAGATCGGGCAGCAGACCGAGTTCAGAGCTCTGGAATCAACAGACAAACACAACTAATGATTCTGAATCGGTGTCTGTAAATATCAGCTCTGTCGCTGTCCGACAGCTCGAGTTAAGTACAGAAAACCGAGAGTTCCTGTCGAGATGACTCGAATAATACGACTAGGTTTGCGGACCTAGCTCGGCCAACAGACCGAGTTCAGACCTCTGGATTCAACAGGCGAACGCGCCTAATCATTCTACATCGATTAGCTGTGCTTACCAGCTCTGTAGCTGTCCTAAAGCTCGAGTTATGTTCAGAAAACCGTCAGCGCGTATCAACATGACTCGAAACGGCCGATCCCGCCACAGTGCTTTTCGATAGTAATATTCACCCGATCGAGCTGAGATCAAGATGGCGAGCGGGAATGAGATCGAATATCACGGGAAAAAATACTAGAGCTCAAACGAATTATTGAATTTCGAGAACATAATTTTCAAGCGAGCAAAAGTCACCAAAAGTTCCGTCGAGATTTTTCGAGCCAACTAGCCTGCCAGTGCGTCCGAATTACTCTTAAGCTTCCAGCTGCTAGCTTAGGGAAGCTCTACGAGTTACTCTAAAGCTTCCAGCAACTAGCTAAGGGAAGCTCTACGAGTTACTTGGCATGTCATCGTGGCGGCGACGCCCGAGGAGAAGTTGGAGGAGTTGAAGTGTGCTGCGAAGGAGACCAACCCGAAGAGGGCCAGTTCGTTGTGGCCGACAGGCACGGCGGTGACGCTCTTCCACCCGGAAGCCTTCAAGACGGCCTCGTCGAAGTTCGAGAAGGAGAATCTCATGGAGCACGCCCGCGTCTCTGACCCGGGAACTTGCCCCATGCTGGACCAGGTCCCGCAAGAGCATATGCAGTCCAGCGGTGTTACTTCGTTGTGCACGCTTATCCGCAACGTCAGAATGCTCTACAGTAACTCGTAGAGCTTCCCTTAGCAAGTTCTTGCTGGAAGCTTAAGAGTAATACCTCGTGGAGCTCTTCGGCATCGATGAGCTAGAGGAATTCCGGCGCGGGGTGGAGCTAGTACCTCGTAGAGCTCTCATGGTATGAGAGATAGAGGAATTCGGCGACAGGGTGGAGCTAGTTGGCGGAATTTCGAAAAGAGACGGGATCATACCATCCGCGACCTGGCTCGGCCGATTTTGCAGCTCTAACCATTCGTTTGGGCTGATAATTGCGCCGAGCGAAGCTTTGCATCCCAGACGTTGCCTCTGGAATTCTCAGCTCATTCCGTGACAAATTCTTCTGAACGAGACCAAGAACCTGACCTCAGATTGCCATAAAAAATTGAAAATACCTTGTAGAGCTCTTCGGCATCGATGAGCTAGAGGAATTCCGGCGCGGGGTGGAGCTAGTAACTCGTAGAGCTTCCCTTAGCAACTTATTGCTGGAAGCTTAAGAGTACTGGGCGCCGGCGGTAAACCGTCAACCTTTGTTACCGCCGGGGGACTCGTAGAGCTTCCTGAGGACACATAATGTCGAAAAAAAATACACCGGACAAATAATTTTTCAGCCCAAGCAATTTCGGACCTCTGGGATGCAACAGCCGAACGCCCCCGATGCTTCTGGATTGTCTTCTGCACGAGCTCTGTAGCTCTCCTACAGCCCGAGTTACGTGCGTGAATCGACAGCACCTCTCAAGATGACTCGAAGAATACGAATAGTTTGGCAAACCTAGCTCGAGTATCAGACCCAGTTCAGACCTCTGCATGCGACAGGCGGACGCGTCTGATGTCTCTGAATCGATTCCTGTGATTACCAGCCCTGCAGCCTTCCCTACAGCCTGAGTTAAGTGCAGGAAACCGACAGCACCTCTCAGGATGACTCGAACAATACGAAGAGTTTCGCGGACCTACTTCGGGCAGCAGACAAAGTTCGGAGCTCTAGATTCGACAAGCGAACGCGCCTGATGTCTCCGAATTGATTCCCGTGATTACCAGCCATGCAGCCCCCCCTACAGCCCGAGTTAAGTGCAGAGAACCGACAGCATCTCACAAGATGACTCGAACAATACGAATAGTTTCGCGATTCTAGATTGGGCAGCAGACCGAGTTCAGAGCTCTTAATTCAACAGACAACGGCCACTGATGATTATGGATCAGATTCTGTACGTATCAGCTCTGTAGCTGTCCTGTAGCTCGAGTTAAGTACAAAAAACCGAGTGCGTCTGACAAGATGACTCGAATAATACGAATAGGTTTGCGGACCTAGCTCGGCTAGCAGACCGAGTTCAGACCTCTGGGTTCAACAGGGGAACGCGCCTGATCATTCTGAATCGATGAGCTGTGCTTACCAGCTCTGTAGCTGTCCTGAAGCTCGAGTTATATTGAGAAAACCGTCACCGCGTATCAAGATGACTCGAAACGGCCGATCCCGCCCGTGTACTTTTTGGCAGTAAAAGGTACCCGATCGAGCTGAGATCAAGATGGCGAGCGGGAATAAGATCGAATATCACGGGAAAAATACTAGAGCTCAAACGAATGGTTGAATTTCAAGAACAAAATTTCAACCGACCAAAAGTCAGCAAAAGGTCCGTCGAGATTTTTCTTGTCAACTAGCTCTCCAGCGCCCCGGAATTACTCTAAAGCTTCCAGCAATAACTTGCGAAGGGAAGCTCTACGAGTTAAATACCTCGTAGAGCTCTTCGGCATCGATGAGCTAGAGGAATTCCGGCGCGGGGTGGAGCTAGTTGGTCGACCCGGCCAGAAAGGACAAAGTAACTCGTAGAGCTTCCCTTAGCAAGTTATTGCTGGGAGCTTTAGAGTAATAACTCGTAGAGCTTCCCTTAGCTAGTTGCTGGAAGCTTAAGAGTAATTCGGCGCGCTGGAGAGCTAGCTGGCAAGAAAAATCTCGACGGACCTTTTGCTGACTGGGCGCCGGCGGTAAACCGTCAACCTTGATTACCGCCGGGGGACTCGTAGAGCTTCCTGACAACAACTAATGTGGAAAAAAAGATTGTTGAGAACGAAGAATTTTTCAGCCCAAGCGATTTCAGACCTCTCGATGCAACAGCCGAACGCCCCCGATGCTTCTGCATTGTCTGCACGGGCTCTGAAGCTCTTCTACAGCCCGAGTTACGTGCTCCTTTCAAGATGACTCGAACAATACGAATAGCTCGGCAAACCTAGCTCGAGTATCAGACCGAGTTCAAACCTCTGCATGCGACAGACGGACGCGTCTGATGTCTCTGAATCGATTTCTGTGATTATCAGCCCTGCAGCCCCCCCTACAGCCCGAGTTAAGTGCAGGAAACCGACAGCACCTCTCAGGATGACTCGAACAATACGAATAGTTTCGCGCACCTAGTTCGGGCAGCAGACAGATTTCGGAGCTCTGGATTCGAACGGCGGACGCGCCTGATGTCTCCGAATCGATTCGAGTGATTACCAGCCATGCAGCCCCCCTACTGCCCGAGTTCAGTGCAGAGAACCGACAGCATCTCTCAAGATGACTCGAATAATACGAATAGTTTCGCGATTCTAGATCGGGCAGCAGACCAAGTTCAGAGCTCTGGATTCAACAGACAACGGCCAATGATGATTCTGAATCAGATTCTGTACGCATCAGCTCTGTAGCTGTCCTGTAGCTCGAGTTGAGTACAGAAAATCGAGAGCGTCTGTCAAGATGACTCGAATAATACGAATAGGTGTGCGGACCTAGCTCGGCTAGCAGACCGAGTTCAGACCTCTGGGTTCAACAGGCGAACGCGCCTGAATGCAACAGGCGGACGCGTCTGATGTCTCCGAATCGATTCCTGTGATTACCAGCCCTGCAGGCCCCTTACAGCCCGAGTTAAGTGCAGAAAACCGAGAGCACCTCAAAAGACGACTCGAACAATACGAATAGTTTCGCAGACCTAGCTCAGGCAGCACACCGAGTTCTGAGCTCTGAATGCGACAGGCGGACGCGACTGATGTCTCCGAATCGATTCCAGTGATTACCAGCCCTGCAGCCCCCTTACAGCTCGAGTTAAGTGCAGAAAACTGACAGCACCTGTCAAGATGCATCGAACAATACGAATAATTTCGCGGACCTAGCTCGGGCAGCACACCGAGTTCTGAGCTCTCGATTTGGCAAGCGGATGCGCCTGATGTCTCAATATTGATTCCTGTGAGCACGAGCCCTGTAGCCCCCCTACAGCTCGAGTTAAGTGCAGAAAACTGACAGCACCTGTCAAGATGCATCGAACGATACGAATAATTTCGCGGACCTAGCTCGGCCAGCAGACCGAGTTCAGACCTCTGGATGTAAGAGACGAACGCGCCTGATAATTTCCAATCGATTTCTGCGAGAATAAGCTCTGTAGTTGCCCTACAGCTCGAATTAAATACAAAATACCGACAACGCGTATCAAGATGACTCCAGCCGATCCCGCCGCGACGCTTTTTCGCAGAAATATGTACCCGATCGAGCTAAGATTAAGACAGCGAGCGGGAATAAGATCGAATCTGGTCAGAAAAAATACTAGAGCTCAAAGGAATTGTTGAATTTCGAGAACCAAATTTTCAACCGACCAAAAGTCGGCAAAGGTCCGTCGAGATTTTTCTTGCCAGCTAGCTCTCCAGCGCGCCGGAACTGGGCGCCGGCGGTAAACCGTCAACCTTGGTTACCGCCGGGAGACTCGTAGAGCTTCCTAGCTCGACTTATGTTGAGAAAACCGACAGCACCTACCAACATTCCGACTCATAGTGAATATTTTTTGAACTCTGAATGCGACAGGCGGACGCGTCTGATGTCTCCGAATCGACTCCTGTCATTACCAGCCCTGCAGCCCCCTACAGCCCGAGTTAAGTGTAGAAAACCGGCAGCACCTCTCAGGATGACTCGAACAATACAGTAGTTTCGGAGACCTCATTCGGGCAGCAGACCGAGTTCCGAGCTCTGGATCTGACAGGCGGACGCGCCTGATGTCTTCAAATCGATTCCTGTGACCACCAGCACTGTAGCCCCCCTCAGCGCGAGTTGAGTGAAGAAAACCGAGAGCACTTCTCAAGATGACTCGACCAATACGAATAGTTTCGCGATTCTAGATCGGGCAGCAGACCGAGTTCAGAGCTCTGGATTCAACAGACAAACACAACTAATGATTCTGAATCGGTGTCTGTAAATATCAGCTCTGTAGCTGTCCGACAGCTCGAGTTAAGTACAGAAAACCGAGAGTTCCTGTCGAGATGACTCGAATAATACGAATAGGTTTGCGGACCTAACTCGGCCAACAGACCGAGTTCAGACCTCTGGATTCATCAGGCGAACGCGCCTACTCATTCTAGATCGATTAGCTGTGCTCACTAGCTCTGCAGCTCTTCTACAGCTCGAGTTATGTTCAGAAAACCGCGACCGCCTGTCAAGATGACTCGAAACGGCCGATCCCGCCCGTGTGCTTTTTGGCAGTGAAAGGTACCCGATCGAGCTGAGATCAAGATGGCGAGCGGGAATAAGATCGAATATCACGGGAAAAAATACTAGAGCTCTAACGAATGGTTGAATTTCGAGAACAACATTTTCAACCGACCAAAAGTCACCAAAAGGTCCGTGGAGGTTTTTCTTGTCAACTAGCTCTCCAGCGCCCCGGAATTACTCTCAAGCTTTCCAGCAATAACTTGCTAAGGGAAGCTCCACGAGTTACTCTTGGTCGGTTGAAAATAACTCGTAGAGCTTCCCTTAGCATGTTATTGCTGGAAGCTTTAGAGTAATTCCGGAGCGCTGGAGAGCGAGGGACTCGTAGAGCTTCCATTAGCAAGTTATTGCTGGAAGCTTAAGAGTGACTCGTAGAGCTTCCCTAAGCTAGCAGCTGGAAGCTTAAGAGTAATTCGGACGCACTGGCAGGCTAGTTGGC